CATTGTAGTGAAATGGAGAGTGTAGAAAAATAATGACAACAACAGAGGGCATTAACAGGACTTTACCCTTATTTAGGAAGACAGCCAGACAGGAATGAGGACATCCTGACCATGTGTGTTATCCCCACAGGGTCTGTTCTCCAAGTCCAGTGGCACTTCTCCTGAGTCAAGTCCCACTGAGGAGCGTCCTTTGTGGGCAGCACAGAGCTTGGCTGTCCTCCTGCTGGGTGCTGTCTGTACCATCTGACTTGTCCCGTGGCCGATCCTGCTGGTGGCCGATCCTGCTGGCAAACTTCCTGCTTCGTTTCTCTCCTGTCCTAGGGGGATTTCTGCGGGGCAGAAATGAGTGGTTTGTGTTCTTGCTATGTAGAAGGCATCTGTAACTTTGAAGGGATGCTTTTTTCTGTGTGTGCCTAAACCCCTCCAAACCATTCTCTTTGGAAATGTAAATAAAATGCAAAGCCTTGTGCAGATGTGTCCTGTGTTTCCTACGAGCTGTCACTTCTGTTGAACTACCGTCCCCCGGTACATGATGGTGAAGGACCTTGGCCACCAAGGCCACGCTTCAGTGCAGGGAGATGAGCTGGGTTTCTTTGGCAGGGCTTTGAGATGAATGCTCCCCCAGCTCTCTGTCTCTCCCACCTTACAAAACCTCAGTGTAATCCTGCCATCATTCTGTGCTTGGAGCCAAATCCCAACCTGCTCCCCAGCATCCTTCTTTCCCTCCCACAACATCCCCTTCTCTCCTGCATTCCCAGCACCGTGTCATCTCCTGCAAACAACCTGTTGGAATCCTCAGAAGCTCCAGCAAAACAGGTGAGGCAGTTCTGCTCCTCCTTGCTTGGTCATGACATACTCCAGAGCTGAGGACAGAGGAGGAGGTGGGGATGCTCAGCTGGAGTAGGAAGGCAGGACCTTGCTCACTTCTGATCCCTGTGAACTGTGGGGAAACCAGGACAAAGCCCTCACTGAGTGGGTGGACAGGAGCTACAAGCTCTTCACAGGACAGGTTGGGTCCCACCTCCAAGTGACTCCCAGACACACCACCCTTAGGAAATCCTGCTGAGCTGGGCAGTAAAGTGCCCCCTTGCCTGTTCAGGACATTTTTAAAAAAATCTCAGCTGTTGAAATAGTGCTCCTTTGGCTGAACAGTGGTTCTCCATCAACTTTCCACTTTTGATTATAAAACTGGAGATCTCTGAGCATCTATGGTGAGAGGAGGATTGCCACCAAGCCCTGTGGTGCAGGCTCTGGTTGTATTGTTCGTGTTGCTACAGGTGCTCTCTGAATCTGCCGTATCACAAAAGTGAAATAACATCCTTCAGGCTGAAATCAGAGACTCATCAACTCCAAAAGCCTCCAGCTAAAATGAGCAGATATTCTGCAGATGGTATGCCTGTTTCCTCCCTCACCTCCAGGCAGCTCCATGCCTTGCTCATATATTCATGTTGACCCCTTTAGCGGGGTCCTGATTGCTCAGCAGCAAGTGAAGATCCACAGCACTCTAAAAGGAAGACAAGAGCAGGACCTTGCTTTTATTTTAGTGAATCTCTAATAACACAGAAAATAAAAGAGAAAAATTGTTGTGCTGTTTAACAGTGGAATGTACTGTGGCAGCTGAGATCTCAGATACAAGCCTTCAGCCGTGCATCCTGAGAAGGTGGGTGGAGCTGATAAATGGCTGGAAGGCACCAGTTAGGAATGCTGACAGTGTTTGCACAGCACATGGTGTTTGATTTAGGAGTGGTTCTTGAATCGCTGAGTCTCTTAAACAGAGGCTGACAATTCAACATATTAAAGAATAAAAACTTGATAAATACTTTTATGGATAGTACTATTTTCCAAACTGATGCACAGTCACAGAATCACAGAGTGGTTTAGGTTGGAAGGGACCTTAAAGATCTCCCAGTTCCAAACCCCCCTGCCATGGGCAGGGATGTAACCTACTGGGTCAGTTTCATCATGGCCCCATCCAACCTAACCTTGAACACTTCAAGGGGTGGGGCAGCCATAACTTCTCTGGGCAATCTGTGCCAGTGCCTCATCACTCTCTGAGTAAATGTATGTATCACCACAGAGATGTTCCAGCTCATGTTATATAAATATTTATACAATTTTCAAAAAGCACATATTTATTCCCCACAAAGTCACTGTCAAGTTATTTTTCTTTGGTAGAACCAAATTTCTAAGCACTAATATGATTATTTTTATGATTCATATTGTAGTTGCTCATCCAAGGTCCAGGCACAGGCTAATTCTTTCATGAAAATACAGGGAAAGGATGGTCCCTGCCTGAAAGAGCTTACAGGCTTGGAAATATCCCTTTTACATAAAATAAAAACTGTGGGCAGAGGAACCAGACCAGTATGTTCATCACACTGATGACAAGCCATGGTTGGTGTGGCAGTAGAAGAGAGTTGTGGACTCTCTGAGCTGGCAACTATTCCTTTTGCTAAAGTGGTAAGGATTTTTGTTGTGGAATTGAATGCCATTAGCCACCCTTGATTCTGATTTGGGGGAATCTCTCAGCTGGGCAAGGTAAACTCATCTACTGCCCTTCACCCTGCCTGAGTGAAAAGCTTGTGTGAGCAGAGAGGTGATGGTCCACCCATCTTTTCAGCTCTGCAGCTGCAGAAGGAAAGGTTACCACATCCAGCATTGAAGACATGGTGGATGTGAACGCTGTCAGCTATATCCAGGATATGATCTGAAACATCTACATAAGCCAGCCCAAAGAATGGGATTTGCAGCCCTTAGAGGTCTGGGACACACAGATCTTCCAGGTCTCCTTGTTTTTCAGTAAGCATTAATCTTTTAAAATTTATTGCAAGTCACAAAACCTGGGGTCCCAAGCAGACCTCACTGGTGCATCCAGCACTACCAGTTCTGCTGGTCTGGTAAAGGGAAAATTCAAGCATTTCTATTCAAAGCAGCAGAGATAACTCAGACAGAGGTTATCATTGAGGATCCCTGAGGACGCTTAAGAGAACCAAAAGCAAAATGTAAGATGAGTTCAATGATAGGTTTACCCAAATGCACAAAGCATTCAAGAGTCTGGGCCCAGCTTGAGGGAGCCTTTCATGGGAACAGGCTTCAAGGGAAGTGAATCAATCTAAATTCTAACTGGTTTTCCCTCTGTGCCTCAAGCTCCTGTTCAGATCAATGCTGTCTTCTGAGAGGATACAGATCCAGCAAAACTCCTGGGGTATTCAAAAGCAAGAAAGCTGGTGTCCATGAGCACAATGCAGATTTTGTGCAAATTATTTCCTTATATACCATACTGACAATTTTCATAATTAACATCTCCCCCAGGAAGATTTTTAGGAAGTGTTGTATTTGTCTGAGCTTTTTCTTTTGGTTGCTGGCAAAAGGAAGCATCTTGAAACAAAAGAGAGTGAGGCAATGTTGGTAGAGGGGATAACACCTTTTATTTAGACCAACAGAAACTGGAAAAAAAATGGGAAAAAAAAACCCCAGGCAAGCTGAAGCAGAATCTGACAGACATGGGAATGCCTCATGAGCCCTAAAACATGGATAGTTTTATCCATCTGTATCAGCTGATTTAGTAAAAGATATTGTCTCTCATTACAAACTTTATGTTACATCTCTGGACAATCATGCCCATGGCAATTTTGCCACCAGAATGAAATGAAGACACAGAAGTGATGAGTGCCCTGAAGACAAATTTGGAAGCAACAGTGCACTTAGAATGACCTGGAATGAAATAAAGGAGATCCTGAAGGGCTGTGATCTGGTTCTGGAGAGGTTATTTAGGCTAGCTCTGATGTAATACTCTGTGTTTAATAAATTAACACAGACAGAGAATCATCATAGAATCACAGAGTGGTTTGGATTGGGAAGGAACCTCAAAGACTATCTAGTTCCAACTCCAACCCCTCAGCCCCGACCCTGTCATAAGTAGGGACACCTTCCACTAGAACAGGTTGCTCAAACCCCCATTTAACCAGGCCTTCAACATTTCCAGGAATGGGGCATCTACAGCTTTCTCAACCTGTGCCATTGTCTCATCACTCTCACAGTAAAGAATGTCTTATATCTAATCTAAATATCTCCTCTTTTATCTTCAAGATGCTCCCCCTTGTGCTGTCATGATGTGCTCAGGCAAAAATTCACTCTCCTTTTTTTTATAAATCCCCTTTTAAGTACTTTCAAGTTCACCTTCACTACATCCTTGTGAGTGTTTTGATTTTGTGATAGTCTTACAACCACTAAATCTGTGGTGCTGCCCACATTCTATATTTGGTGGATACAGGATATTAGAAAACAATGTCATGCAAAGATAATAATCAAATATTTATGGTCAATTTAAGAGTTTATGTTCAAGCAGAGATTCAGGTTTGGTTTTATTTACCTTGCACAAATTACTCAGTGCCCAGAGATTGTATGGGTGAGGAAGAAAATGCCATCACCTTGGACAGATTGTAGACACCCTGTAGATCTGTCATCAGTGTGAGTGAAAAATGGGATCAGTGAAATTGTTTGGGATCAACTGTGCTTTAAAACAGCAGTGCACTTAGGCCAAAGAGCTGTGAAAATGTTTACTGGTTTTGATACAATCAGTTGTCAAGGCAGAGGTGGACGCACCTCATGGGGCTCATTGGAGGTGCCTCCCTTGGAAGGGATTATTCAGCCCTCAGTCACCACTCACATAGCAGCACACGAGGTGTGTGCTGGCAGCCAGCCTGAGTCCACCCTGCACCTTGCTGGTTGCCAGAAAACTAATGAGCAAATACTTCCGCTTTCAGGCTGTCCCCTCCCCTCTCCCTACACCTGCAGCTAGAACCAGGACTCCGCCTGGGACAAACTGGAACCTCCGTGGCAGCAGCTGGGCTGGGAGCAGGGAAAAAGCTGACCCAAGGAAGAAAGACCAAGTGAAAGAGGATTGGAGCACAGCTGGGAGCCATCCTGCGTGTGGGGTAGGACGCCAGCACCGAGCAGCAGGTTTTCCCAAACAGCTGAGTCCTCAGCTCCTGGGGAAGATGAGCATTTCGTCAGAGCACAAGCCCCTTGGGAAGCAGGTCACCAGCAGCCTGCATATGGTGAGTAAGGTATGTCCTCAAGGGCACAATTTCCTCATGCGGGATCAAAGCACCCCTGATGGGCGACATTCGAGTGGGTTTTTTTCCCCCATATGCTAATCTGAAGACACCAGGCCTTGCCAAATATATCCCTAAGAAGAAGATTCTAGTTAAAAAGCTGTGCCTGTGTGCACCTGTTGTGTTATGGGAGGGCCAGGTCTCTCACAGGCATGCAAGATCTGACAACAGCAAATTACCAGAGTGGTTCTTCTCCTTTGGCAAGAAATGGAATTCAATTAATATAAACTTTAATTGGTCAGTTCCCTAAATAAAAGCCTGTCGTAGGTTTTGAGGTTTTCAGCAAGTCTTATGAGTCTCCAATGATGCCAAAGCTGCCCTGTGTTGTTGGCATGCAGGATCATCAGGTGGGAGCAGCAGTTTTTCTAGCTATAAGGAAAATTAATGGCAGTCTCAGACAAGCAGCATGTTACTAGGTGGAAATCAGTGATGAGATTATTTCTTTTTAGTCTCCTCTGCCCTCAGTGTATTGCTAACCAGTTTGTCTTCTTGGTTAAAGCTGAACAGTCTCTTCTCCAGACCTCTCTGTATTAAGAAAACCAACCTTCCTACGTTGCACTTTTCAGATGTAAGTTGCAAAATGCTTCCCTATGGAAGCAACTGTTTTACAGATTAGTAAACTGGGGCACAAATAGATGGAATGACTTTCCTGAGTGTCATCTTGCTTGCTTACAGAACTGGGAATCAGCTGGTGCCAGTACTTCCAGTCCACTGGGAACCTTTTTGATGCCAGGCTAAAACCATTAATCAAGATGCAAGAACATGAATCTTGGCTACTGTATAAAGGAATAAATGTTATCCATTTGTATTAGTGACAAACAGCATGAAACATCTGACCTGCCATCTGAAAAAGGAGCAAAGGCTCAAAAGCCTGAGACTCTCCTGTCAAATAGTCCCGGGTGGGGAGTGCTGTTGGTAGCTCTTGGACTAATAGCATATCTCCTAGGGAGAGACTTGACTACAGAAACAGCTTTGGGCTGTGTTTTTCAGTAGGTGGAAATCACAAGATAGTCTCAGACAGAATAGTACTTGTCTTCTATACCCAAGTGTAAATGACTGCTCTTGAAATGAAACTGCCCACACTAGTGCAAAGCAATATTCCAGCTGGGTCTTTGGCCTGAATCTCCTGCTGCTTCCCTGGCTTGCTGAGGGTGTGACCAAATTTCTGCTAAATCTGATAGGTTAAAGGGAAGGTCTCCCATTGCACCAGGCTGTCTGTTCCTAGTCCCATCCTTTTGTCAGCTCTGTGGTCATTAAGTCCTCTGTCAGCCAATCCAGTTCACTAAGATGAAAGAGAAGCAGAGCTGGCATGAGGTGAGCAAGAGAGCACACAGAGAGGTACAAGAACAGGACAGGGAGAGGGCACAGGAGCCCCCCCCCCTTCTCTTGGTGTGTGCTGTGAGATCAGCTCACGTCATCCCGTGGCTCTGTACCCATGTGATCCAGCTAAGTACTTAAGCACACACTTCACCTGAGGCATGTGACCAGCAGCACTGAGGCAGCTCCTTTCGTGATCAGATCCAAGAAAGTGCAGGTGAGCTCCTGGAAAATAGGGTTGTTTATTGACTGACGCCTTCCCAATGGCAGGTGTGGCCCTGGCCTGGCTTGTGACTTACATTACAGTAGTGCTGGCAGGAGGAAAAGAACTCTCTCTTTCTTTCTTTCTTCCCTTCTCATCTGCTGACTACTACCTAAAATGACCAAGTGCAAAGGGAAGCTAGTAAAATTTTTCAGAACTGAACATACAAGAAGGTCAATTTTAAAAGTCCAGCTTTCCAGGTATTCAGGCCTCCTTCAATTCAAACAATGGTGTTAATACAGAGGGTTAAAAAATGCGAACAAACACACAATCTTTACATTTTTCCATTTTAAGTCCATGCCAGTTGCATGAAATATTTCCATTACTTCCTAACTAAAGCCATCACTCATTTTTAGGTGCTTTGCTGAACAGCTTTTGTCCTGCACCTCTGACATGATGGATTTTTGTCTTACTTCAGTGTTTGCAGCTGAACCCCCAGATGAGTGGAAGCCAATTCCACCTATTTATAAAGTTTTAAAGGCTTTAGTTTCTCCTTTAAAGAGGAAAGAACAGTTCAGATTATAAACATGAAATAGCACAGCTTTGGGCTCTATCTTTGTCCCTCTGCACATGGGGTGGGTGAGAGCTCACCTACTGCTCCTGCTGTTAGGTGGCCCACAGGGACAATGTTTGTGAGCTACTTAGGAGATCAGTGTTGGTTCCTGTAGTCACTCCCAGCTTTCCTGGGCAGGGTACTTATTTTCCCTCTTTCCCACCAGGAAAATGACACTTTCCTACGTTCCAAAGATGAGGTGAGGACTTAGCCATTTAGAAATGTCCAAGTCTTTGCTGCTCTGGTGGTGAGAGCTGTATAAGCATCCTGCATCTGCTTTTTGCAATAAATCAGGTGGAGGTTCCCATCTGACACCCACAAAATGGGAGCTCATATTGCTCTTCAAATCATCATTCCATCCTCCAGCTGTAGTAATTATATATCCTCTGAACAGAGAGAGACATAGTTCTCCCAGGATTTTAGAAGCTGTGGGAAATTTAGAGGAAAGAATCCAAACAATTATTATCTCTTTTTCTGTAAGCGTTGTTTATAGATATGGTTCTCCAGAGTGTGCTATTCATAGTTCATCAATAGTGTGAGAGAAGATTCCTAAAGGCCAATCAGGTCTTAGGTCTAACATTGTTTTTATAAGAACTGCAGATTTCTAAATATAGTGTCTTTTCATGCATTCTGATGATGGAGTCTCTGTATAGCCTTTGGCTGTCCCCAATACAACCATCTGTCTTTTCCTTGACACTTCCCTGTTGATGACCTCAGAGTGATAATGCACATGGCTTTTTGTCACTGTTTTTTTTCAGTTGTCACCAATTGTGGAGTTAAATGTTGGCGGGGAGATGTACACGACAACACTGAGCACCTTGAAGAAACACCCTGGCTCCAAGCTGGCAGAGATGTTCACCGGCCAGCCCAAACTCAGGACTGACTCTGAAGGGAGGTTCTTCATCGACAGGCCAGGCACCCACTTCAAATACATTTTGGAGTACCTGCGCAGTAACCAAGTGCCCACCCAGTGCATCCAGGACGTCTACAAGGAGGCGTTGTTCTATGACATAGAGCCTTTGATCAAGCAGCTTGAGGACTCCCCACAGATCTTTGGGGAGCTCGTGGCGAGGAGGCAGTTTCTGGCTCGTGTGCCCAACTACAATGAGAACATCGAGCTGATGATCCGCATCGCGAGGGCGGAAGCGGTTGCGTCCCGACAGTCCAGCGTCATCGTATGCGTGGTCAGAACCGAGGAGGACGCAGCCAGGTGTCAGGATGCCTTGAACAGTTTGGACATGGATAAAAAATCTGTGGTGAAGTTTGGCCCCTGGAAGGCTGTGCCCAGTATTTCTGATCTGCTGGACTGCATTCAAATGGACATTGAAGCCAAGGGGTATAAAATATCCTTTCAGCCCCATGTTGCTGAAAAAGGTTTTCGCTTCAAGTCGCATGACTTCTTCTACAAGTTCCTGTTCACCTGGTGGTAACAAAGTGCCACCATTGATAGGGAACATCAGAAAGCAATGACTGGAACAAATTAACCTGGACTGTGGAGAATAAACCACGAGCTGCCAGAGGGACAGGAAGAAATGCACAGGCCAATAAAAGGATCTCCTTTGGCTGTTTTCCATATCAAAGAGCACTTAAGAGCCACTTTACTTGGGGTTTAGGGGATAACTTTTTAGGGGTTTTAAAAAGCTCCAGAGGAAGGAGGAATTTTACTCTTCAGTGTTGCTTACTATTCATTCAGTTCAAAGAGATGGATCTGTGAATTGAGCCAACCTCACTTAACCTAAGGGAAATGAATAATCCCAAATATGTCTGGTGGACATGTAGAGGTGCTCTCTCAGTGCAAATGGGAACAGGCCGCATATGTGGACATCCTGACTGAAACAATGATATTACCACATACTCAAATTAAATTTGGTTTCTAAATGGGAAGGCAAAAGCTATTCTTCTCCTGCCTTTCTACACTAGAACCTGGGTTAAAAGGAAGGATTCAGTGTCCTACGATCACTTCTTATTTCTCCAGCAGACAGCCTACTCTCTAGTCAATGTATTTATTACCATTATTTATTATTTGTCCTGAAGGAAAGACAGAGAACCTCAGCTACGGTCCAGGATCAACAAAAGGCAAAAATACCATCACTGATGTGAGGAGTTTATAATCTAAGGATACACACTCCTTTTTCAGACCACACAATCTTAATCTTTTTCTTATGACACTCATTATTAAGATGATGCTATTTCTAACTACATAAGCTCCTGGAAGAATTGGGAAAACCTGCCATGATTTGGTGGGAAGGAAGTGGTACTGAAGCAACAGCCTGCAAATTCTCTTCTACCAAACACAAGTTGCATTGTACAAGGCGTTTTAAAAAAATCTTAGAATTTGAAAGTTTATTTTTATACTGGAAACAGCTTGGGTTTAATCACTCTGAGAATCATAATGGCTGATTTGATAAAGACCATATTTCCTTTACTTCTTGGAAGATGGATTTCTTCCAGGCAAGGACAATAAACATAGAATCATAGAATGGTCCCTGGGATTTCAAATAAATAAAATTTAAAAATTTTTTAAATTATGCAGAAGTGCTTTATTTACTGACATTTTCCCCTCAAGATCCCAGAATTCTTAAGATCCGAAGTTTTGTCTTTAGGATACCAGATTTGAGGCACTCCTAATTAAACTGTGTTTCAGATGTGCTTATCCTAGCATGGACCTCCCCCCCAGTGACAGCCATGAATCACTCCAGGCTGCAGGGCAGTTCTGCTCTAGGTGTGAAGGGACTCTGAGATCTCTCACATTCACAGCCTTGGTAAGAATGGACACAGTCAGTGTCAGAGAGGACAAAAAGGTTTAGGAAAGAGGCTCTTTTGATCCTAACCAAGTGGTTGGTGGTGCTCAGCCTGGAAGAAGAGAGATTGAGGAGGCCTCCCAGTAGACAAAAGGTTGCTTTAAAGAGATCTATTTCAATTTGTCCATACTAGGGGTGGGGAAACTGGCTTAAGTCACAACAACATAGATGAAAATTATATATTAGGAGAAAAAAAATCTCAGTATAGAATAGTTAAAGCCTCACACCAGCCAACCTCTTAAGTCTATAGGACTGCTGCCATGAGAAACTTTATTTGGCACACACTCAAATCCTGGGCTCAGTTTGGGGCCCCTCACTCCAAGAAGGACATTGAGACCCTGGAATGTCCTGGAGAAGGGCAGTGGAGCTGGGGAAGGGTCTGGAGCACAAGTCTGATGAGGAGTGGCTGAGGGAGCTGGGGGTGTTCAGCTTGGAAAGAAGGAGGCTCAGGGGGGGACCTTACTGCTCCCTACAAGTGCCTGAAAGGAGGCTGTGGCCAGGTGAGGGACAGGTCAAGAGAAATGGCCTCAAGTTGTGCCAGGAAAATCATCAGGAAAAATGTATTCACTGAAAGGGTGGTCAGACATTGGAACAGGCTGCCCAAGGAACTGGTCAAGTCACCATCCCTGAAGTGCTCAAAAAATGTGTGGATGTGGCACTCAGGGACAGAGTTTAGTGGTGGGCTTGGCAGTGCTGGATTAATGGCTGAACTTGATGATCTTAGACATTTTTTCTGACTTTAGTGATTCCACGATTCTGATGGAAAGAATTTTTCTAATTATTTTCAATTAATTGTTTTAATTAATCATAAGCAGTATATTATTTATTAGCATTGTATCGGTCTTAAGTCACTTTTAGCCAACACATAGATAGTTTCTTCACACAAATCATTATTGTTAGAGTTTAATTGGGAAAATCATTGAAACTTTAAGCTTTGCTAAACTAGCCCTGATATGCTTTGGTGAAGCGAGAGAGAGATGTATTTCTGAAAGTGGACACAAAAAATGCAGAATTTATAGACTACAAGGGCATTTGCAGAAACCAGAAGATAACAAAGACTCTTCAGTATGTGCTGCAAACCTCCCTACCGGGGAGAAACATAGCAAAAATACTGAGAAATGGGGACTAATTAACATGAGAAGCAAGAATAAATAACCAGTAGAGGACAGAATACTAATTAATGAAGATAATTATGTCATTTAGAACCAATGAGCATTCATTTCTTTGTTTGCTAAAAAAAGTAGAAAACGGTGGGAAAGTCAGCTTAAAATCGAATACTAGTGTTAGGAAAATTTATCCACAAACATCAGAGGTTTATGCCCAAAAAGGAGACAGAGGAGTCCTTTTACTTTATTCGAATAAAGGGAGAGGCCATGGGGCATACCCCTGGGATCTCTTAAATTTTTGGAGGACGAAGCCTCCTTTTTATCCTAATTTCCTGGGCACATTTCCCTTCTCCCTTTCCCCATTGGCTGAGGTACTTGAGAGGTACAGACTGCCCAATACACCTGATACCAAAGATTTCCCTCTAATGTATAACCCTCCCTTTTAATTTTTAATTCTTATGGAATTTAGGGGTTTTTCTTTCCCATTGTTTCTTTCATCTTTCAATGTCTAATTTCATTTATCAGCCAACCTAAAGTTTATTTGTAAAAGCAAATACCTTTTTTCATTCATCAATCAGCGGCATCCTTCCCACCGTTTCTTTTATCTCCCAGTGCTAGTTTTATCTACCACCAGACTCACAGCTTGTTTGTAAAGACAAATCCGCTATTTCTCTCACTAGTGAAACCTGGGTGTACTTTGCGGCGAAAGAGCGCGGGGCAGCCGCCCTGGGGCGGGGCGGGCGGACCGAGTCGCGGCCGCCATGTTGGTTCCGCGTCCCCATGGCAACGAGAGGCCGCCGGACCATCGAGTGCGGCCTCCGGGCGGAAAGAGAGGCCGCGCCTGGGCCCCTCCCCGCCGCAGCTCGACGGCTCCTCTTCCGGGCTGCGCGGGGCGTCATGGCGGCGCACCTGAAGAAGCGGGTGTACGAGGAGTTCACCAAGGTGGTCCAGGTAACACCTACCCCCTGGGCCAGGATGGACGGCTCCGAACTCTGCCGTGTGGCGGGAGGTGCCGGCGGGTGAGGCGGAGCTGTGGGGATGCCCGCCGGCCCAGCCCGGCGCCGAGCCTGGGAGCGCCTCCCGCTCGCCAGGCGTCGGGGCTGGGGCGGCCCCTGAGGGGTTGGGGAGCAGCGGGACGGGTCGGCCCCGAGTTTAGGAAGGCTGGAGCTGCTGGAGGGGAGAGCTCTGAGGGAAGGTGTTCCCCTCAGGGTGAAGAGGGAGAGAGGTTGTGGAGTCTCCCTCACTAGAGATACTCAAGAAGCGTCCAGGCGCAGTCCTGTGCAGTGTGCTCTGGGATGACCCTGCTTGAGAGGGAGGTTGGACGAGATGACCCACTGTGATCCCTCCCAGCCGGGCCCGTTTTGTTGATTCTCTGACCTGAGCAGAGCCGGGGCTGCTGCGGGGAAGAGGAAGCATCCCCCAGCCAGCGACTGGGGAAGGAACTACAGCGGCTTTCTGGGCTGCTCCAGGCCGGTGGGAGTGGGAGAAGCCGGTGTTTGCCCTGGATTCGTTGTTTGGTGTTGGAAGCAGCTGCATTTGACCCAGCCTAGGGTGGGGAGAAGCCGTATTTTGCAGGGATGGGGACTACCTGGGCAGGACAGTAACAGCCACAGTGGTCTGATCATGGGTGTCTCCTTGAGACAGATGAAGGAGGGACTAGCGACTGCCCTGGGACATGGGAGCTTCCTTAGGCCTCCCCATGGTCAGTCTGGGGAGGAGTGGGTCTGGATGTGCTGTTTCTGAGCCGTGTCCCTCTGCCCACAGCAGCAGCATGAGGACCTGTCCACCAAGAAGCTGCGGCTGACCAAGCCCAGCAAGTCAGCAGCGCTGCATGTGGACCTGTGCAAAGCCACCTCACCTGCAGATGCCTTGCAGTACCTGCTTCAGTTTGCCAGGAAGCCTGTGGAAGTGGAGAGCGTGGAAGGGGTTGTCAGGATCCTGCTGGAGCATTATTACAAGGTGGTGAAGCTGGGAGTCAAACATGCTTGCTCCTTCTACTCCTGTTTGCTTGGTGTGGGTTGTTGAACAGGGGCTCACAGGCTCCTGTGTTGCTGACTCAGCCTGGGCTTAGAGTGAGCAGCTGTAGCCCTTGACCCAAGTGATTTCTGATTGTGTTACTTTGTCCCTGTGCTGATGGTTTCAGCGGCCTGTGACAAGTTATCCCTGCTCATGGCCTGTGTGGAAGTTAACTTGGCAAGGGACAAAAGACCTGTCAAGTTTTCCAGGGAACTGGAACTTTTCCAACTGGGAGCCCAGATGTCTACAGCTGTTTCAGCTTTATCTAACACTTTCCTGACTGATGTGTCCTTACCTTGTTCTTCATTTTCTCTAGCAGTGGAGAAACCTTTTAGCTATTGCTTATGTGGTAAAAACCAGCACTTTTAAAATCACAGAATCATGGAATGGTTTGGGTTGGAAGGGACATTAAAGATCGTCCACTTCTGACCCCTCTGCTAGGGCAGGGACACCTTCTGTTACACCAGGTTGTCCAAAGTTCCATCCACCCTGGGCTTGAGCACTTCC